TGCCAGAATTCAAATAAATTCGTATTCCAGTGGTTCTGAATTTTACAAAAACTGTATAATACGAGATTTGTAAAATCGTTCGGTATTCAAAATGTGTAAAATGCACGTTTTGAAAATCTATGGTTTTTGCAGCCGGGTTCCCGTGTATTTCGACAGTTGTAAAATAGGTGTTTTGAAAACGCTCCGGTGTATTTCAGCTTTTGCAATATATGCGTTTTGGAAACGCGATGGCTTGACAGCCAGGGCCGCGCTGCTTCGAATCAGGTGTTCTGAACACCTTTGGCGCGGGTGGCGGCCAGGCCAAGCGCGCGCGCTCGTCTTCAGTCTGGTTGGCAGCCCCCAAGCAATTCCATTTTGCTCGCTTTGAGCGGGCCCCGCAGGTGGGTTGGTGGGATGGGGTGGGGGAAGGGGCAGACGTCAAATAGAGTTTTCCGCGCCCTCCCGTGTCGCGTAGGAACTTGCGAGATAGTTCCAAGGGTCTCTATACGGTTGCCTCGGGGATGCCTGGAGCCTTGCCCGTCGACACCCCATGAGGCTTGGGGTGGTCTCCCCGAGTTGTGGGGGGGCGGCGTCGACGCAGGCAGCCCCAGGCCCGAACGTTCTCAATCCCTAAAGGTGAGACGACAGGGGGGGTTGGAGAAACTTGGTTTGTTCGAGTGTCAAGTTGTTAAGTTTCGTGCGTATCTGCCATCTGCCAATCCATCCAAAACACGTCCCACGGGAGTTCTCTGAACACCTGCAGGCGCCCAAGCGTTGGGAGCTGAGCCAGGAGAGACGGACCTTGTATAACTTGAGGTCTCCCTCATATATTGCTTAGCGCATTGACCTTTATCATTCCAGGGGGCCAAGAGAGTCTAGAGCGAATGTATATTTGATGATGACGTTCCTGGGGTTGGCATCAAAGGTAAATAATACCGCGCCCCACGTTCCGTTCTGGACCGCGCTATGGTTTCGGGTGCTTTCTGTTTTTCTGTTTTTGAGCAATGACAACGGGGCAGCGAATGTGGCAAGGGGCAAGGGGGTTCCGAGAATCTCACGGCACAGTTCCAGCCTATGCTCCGAGGTGGGTCTGGCGGTGTGTCTGGCGGCCCCCCCCGTCGGGGCCACTGGTGATTGGTTCCGCGGAGTGCCCCAGAGTCATACCTGAAGACATAACATTTCCCTCGGCAGTCGGAGCGCCAGTGCACGAAACGCTTGAACTCGCGTTTGGTATTCCATGGTTTTTTTGAAGGGCCGCGGGGTGGTTTTCGCGTTCAACCCTTGCGGGTGATCCATTAGAGTTAAAGTTTAAAGTAAATCCTAGGTCTTTCCTTTTAATTGCTCTTTCTGGTGCCCAGGGAAGAATTCATCCCGGTGGCCCGTTATTGATTCTGACTGTCTTTAAAATAGTGGTGGTTTGATTCTTGCGTCTGCAACGTGCAACGCGCTCGCGTGCATCTGATATCCACAGGCCTCCGGCCCATCCTTCCACCTTGTCTGGTCTGTGGGCATGAGGTTTCGACCTGTTCGATGGTCGTCGTGATTTCGCGCGAAGGTTGCCAGGGATGCCAGTGGAGGGTTCCCGCGAGCAGTTTTGGGGCCGGGGGTTCTGTTTGGAAATTGACTTCTGGGTGCTTCTGAGGGCCTTAGGTCCTTAGGCCATAGGTCTTAGGGGCTCTCTTTGGGGCGCTTGTGAATGTGATCCGTTTACAATTGGTTTGGGTTTCCTTTCGGGCTGTCGCGGGGCAATTGTGGTTGTTTCGAGGGCCATGTGAGGTCCTAGTCCTTGTCGTTCCTCGGGCCGTCACTAGTCACCCTAGGCCTTCTGTGGTCGCGTTTGGGGCTTCTGTTGCGCGTCTTGGGGGCCGCGGTTGCAGAAAGTTCTTGGGTGGCTAAGCCGCGCATCTTCAAGCGTCAAATCGGCGTTCTTTGAAATCTCGTCGGACATCGTGGAGGCCTCCTGGCCGTCGCGGGGCCGTCTCGGGCATCGTAGGGGGATCGTTCAGATAAGTTCAGAGGTTCAGCGCCGCCATGAAGGCTTTTGGGGCGCCCTCGGGGCTCGTGTTGAATATATTTCAGGCGCGAAAAAGTTACGCGTGGAGACGCGACCGCGCCTCCGCAGATTTTATCAACTCCCCAAACAATATGTCTGTAGGTTCGGGGCTCAAATCGACATCTCTGGAGAGTGGGATGAGGCTCCGAGGATCAGGGATAGTGACTAGTGACTAGACCTGCGGGCACGACCACTTCATGCCCCATGCCATGCCCATGGGCGCGGTGGCGGGTGACATCAGCGCAGAGTTGCGCCAGTCTTCGAGGTCCCACAGAGGCTGATTTGGCTGCTTGGGAGGCAGGTCAGCTTGCCAAAGGGCAGCCCTTCGCTGCCTGGAAGAGACACTCTGCCGAGATGCGGTCGCGCCACCGCATCGCTAAGACATCAGCTCCTTGGACCAAGTGGCCAGTCGACGTGGTCTTGCGGGGCGTCCCAGACATGCCCAGGCCGACAGATTTGTTGGGCATTGGTTGGGCCGTTGAGGTTGCCAAGCAGCCCAGGAGCCACCGCGCCGTCATTTCCAAGAACTCGTGGGCCGACTTGAGCCAGGAGGTTCAAAGATCTCCCTGGATACGCGGAGCTATTGGGACAGGAACAACTTCTAGCATTTGGTATTCTTACGAGAAGGATCAGGTTTTGACCGGGGCCGCCGCCTTGCGATTGCTTGGGTGGCCTTTGCGACGCGTGCAGGTCGATGCTTTCTTCTCGGACCGTGAGCTCAGGGTCTTGGGGGGAGAGTCGTACTCCCTTGTATGGATCACTGTGCTTCACGCGCTCGCCTTTGCGAGTCCATGGGGCGAGTGGTGGCGTTAGGTAGGATGCTGTCGCGAGTCGTGAGGACGACCCTGCGTATTGCAATGGGGCAGGCAGGCAGCGGGGGCTGACGCCTGCAAAGCTCTGGGCGTCTTGTCCGAATCATTGTAGTTACAATTTCGACGGGGGGGGGTGCACCTTTGTCCAGATAGTTTCAGCATGATTGAGAATGCAATGCGGCTGTCACTCGGACATCTTGTGCGTCACGTTCTTTGCGCATTGGCAGCAAAAGGTCTGTTTGGTTTGCTTGGATGTTTTTGTCTCGCAGGGTGTGCGCCTGGATCCTGGCAGGTAGGATCTTTGTATGCTTTTTGTGATCAATTGCACCGCGCGCATTGGGGGGCCGATCGGGATTTCACTGGGGGTCGTCCGGGAATACTTAAGAGAGCGGCGTCTGGTCTTTTAAGTTTTAAGTGTTTAGGGGAGCCTTTCTGGGGACCATGCTATCTGCTGGGCGCATTTGGCCCCGCGAAGCCTCTCAACCTTTTTCGCCGGGGCACTCGGGGGGCCCATGGACCCATGGGGTCTGTTTCCCAAAAAACCTTGACGGCCCCACGGCAATTAATTTTTAATTCTCAGCGGGCACAAAGCGCCGTGCCTTATCGCCCGCTCCAGTCGCAAATCCGAGGAGGCCCCAGATCCACATCGAAAGAACCGCCAAGACACGCTGTCCAGGGTGCCGTGCCGTGCCGTGCACCCACTGACAACTTCAATTGGAACCTCGCCCGAGGTTTGTTAGGGATCCTTCGGCAAAGCAAATTGCAATCCTTGCGCCTTGCTCAACAAAGCCACGCCAACCACGGCTGCGCACGCTGTCCGCGAGCCATTCTGGGTCAGAGAGCTGCGCATTGCGAGAGGCTTTAGTCACTTAGTCTCGTTTCTGGCGCACCAGGGGCGGTGGGCAAACATGAAGCGCGGACCTCCCGCTGCAGCTTCCGCTTCGGCGCCGCCGCGAGGCCAGCGTCCTCGGCGTGCCGCGCCCGCTTCAGGGGGCGGCGCCGCAGCCGCGCGCGCGGCGTTGCCGCCGCCGGAGCTCGCTGGCACGGCCGTCGTTCCGGCGGGCCCGAGTCTGACGGATCGTTCGGGGTGAAAAGGCGGGAACCGTGGTTCGCATGACAGTTGGAAGCCAATGGTTTTTCCGTTTGCGTCGAGGGGGTCGTCCGTCGCGGCGCCGCGTCGCACTCCCATGTCCCTTGAGTCGTTGTCTTTGCCCTTCGCCCCTCGGCTGTTCTGGGCGGTCTCAGGGATTTGGGCTTGGGCCAGCGGCCAGGGGCCTCGGAGCTCCAGGGTCCCCGGGCCTCAGGCCCGCGTTGGGTTTATTATATTGGCGTTTTTGGTTTGGTTGTTCTTCATTGGTTGGCGCGCGAGGCCACCGCGGCCCGATTGCGCGCCCGTTGGTTTGCGCCCACCTCTGCGAAGCCTGCCCCAGGGTTTCCTCGTCGAGCGTTTCTCTGTGCCCCGCGGCGCCTGTGAGTAAAAGGCTTACTCACAGGCACCGCGGGGCACAGATGCGACCATGCCACATATTTTAGTCATGCTTGCGTTGCCCAAGCCGTTGTCGCGCGACGGATGGTTCGCGTGAGGGAGTGTGTAGTGTAGGGCCTGGGGGCATTTAGTGAAACATAGCGGGCCGCGCTGTCGCTTCAGTAATTTGGTGCGGTCACCGCTGAGGACTTATTCGGCACCGCCGTCGAGGCGGCGGAGAAGGTGGACGACGGCGTTTCCGTGGCGTCGAGCGGGGAGGGCGGCGAGCGTGAGGATGATGAGGCCTCCGAGAAAGCTGACGACTCCCAGTGGCATGTCCTTGTGACAGAGAAGAGGGAGATCATGCAATTCGAGGTGGTGTTCTGTTGCATTTGCGGCCAGAGCAGCAAGGATTCCCGCGGGTGTGAAAACGAAAACAGGAATAGCGTGTTTTTTGTAATATATGGAGGCATGAATTGCGGAGTGTGTTTCGAGGCGTTTCCCCTCTTCAGTCATCGTAATCGCCCCCCCTGCCCAATGCCATATCCCCCCCCCCCCCCCGCCCCCCGTCCATGCTCCATGCCCAGGGGCCCAGTGGCGACCCCAGGCGTCAAATAATCGCAGTATGTGTTCGTCGTTTGGGTCGCGCACTGAGCGCGGTGATGTGATTATGTGTCTATAGATCCCGGAGGGGGCCAGTTGGTTCGTGTACTTGGACATGCCGGGCATTTATGATTCGGAGGGCGAAGACGTGCTGCAGCCAGCAGAGGACTGGTGCTCCGCGTGCGGTTTGGCGAGGTGCGCCTACCCGAGTCTCTCGACATTGCAGGTGAAAGAGAAGTTTAAAGGAGACCCAGGGTTTAAGACTGAATTCAACCACATTAGAAGATCTTTGGCGACGGCTGTCGCGTGCAAGCTCAAGCAACAGCAGATCACTGTTAGCGACGAGCTGGTTCTAGAGGTTTCCACTCGCATGGCGTTCACATTGTATAACGTGTTCACGACAAAGTTCACGGCCCCAGACACGATGAAAGTGAAGGTCGTCAAGTTGCGCGGGCCCGAGGGGGCGCATATCGAGGGCGCGTTGGTGAGATTTGAAGGATTGCCAGATGACATGCCACACATGGCGGTGGAAGCGAAGTCCAGGTCCAGCGTTTCCCTCGCGACTTTCGTCTTGCAGCCAGACCAGTTGGCGCGGAGAGGGCAGGCCGACGAGCGCCGCGAGAAGCAGAGGGAGAAACACGCGCAGTCGCTCCCATTCGAGTTGAAGGTCGCGTCCTTTGCCAACACAGATACCTACGATTCCATGATCAAGAGGTTCGCTGAGGGAGAGGACCCCGAGAACCATTCAGCCGCGCAGAGTGCAGCGCAGCAGCAGAACCTGTCTGTTGCGGGGGGAGTCGGACTTCGGCGCGTCGGCGGCGCTGATAGCGATGAGGAGCAGCTCGAGGCCGCGCGCGCGGCAACTGGGAGGTCCGCTGCCACGAGAAGGGGGCCGGGCGGAGGTGGGGGGGGCGGCAGGGCGTCTGGGAAGGGGGCCAAGAAGCTTGTCAAGACTGAGAACGCAGGCTCGGCAGTCGCCAAGGCAGTCGCAGCAGCCCGCAGGAGAGTTGCATCCCAGGCCGAGGCAGAGTCTCCTCAGCAGCCGGGAAGTGCGGCAGCATCGTCAATGGGCGTCGGCGCGGGGCTCGCGCCCCTCATGTCAGCCGATGAGGGGCGGGCGCCGTCGAGAGCCCCCTCCTCCCGAGGAGGCCCTGCTGATGATCGCGATGACGGGGGGGGGCGGCGACCAGGATGACTTCGAGAAGGTCGGCTTCGTCAACATTCTTTCTAGCGGTCTCTGGGGGCGGCAGTTGCGCCCTGTCCGCGGCCCAGTTCGGGCGCAGTCGCCTGTTCGGCCATCAGCTCCCTCGTCCTCCTCGTTATCCCCCTCCCCGCCCCCCCCCCCTCCTCCTCCTCCTCCTCCTCCTCCTCCTCCTCCTCCTCCTCCTCCTCAGTCCTCCTCCTCCCCCTCCTCCCCCCCCTCATCATCATGTTCCTGTTCCTCCCCGTCCAAATTTGGGACCCAAATGTTGGCCCGACAACCAGTGACATGATAATCTGATACGCGGCTTGTAAAGTGTAAAGCGGCTTGGACCAAGATCCCAGATGGATGCGGCCCTTCCTCCTCCTCCTCCCCCTCCTCCCCATCCCCCTCCCCCTCTCTCGCGCTGGCTGCTGGGGGTGGGGTGGGGTGGGGTGGTGGGGTGGTGGTGGTGGTGGTGGTGGTGTGTGTGTGTGTGTGTGTGTGTGTGTGTGTGTGTGTGTGTGTGTGTGTGTGTGTGTGTGTGTGTGTGTGTGTGTGTGTGTGTGTTGTGTGTGTGTGTGTGTGTGTGTGCGTGTGTGTGTGTGTGTGTGTGTGTGTGTGTGTGTGTGTGTGTGTGGTGTGTGTGGTGTGTGTGTGTGTGTATGTGTGTGTGTGTGATGGGTGCTGTGCGATGTGTGCGTGGTGTGTGTGTGTGTGTGTGGTGGGGGGGGGGGGGCGCTCGCGCAGAGGGGCTTCCCATGGGGCCGCCCGACGCGCAAGCCCCCCGCTCGCGCCGGTGACAGTTCCGAAGGGCCCCATGCCAGCCAGCAGGGGAAACATCAGAAAAGGTGGGCGATAAGGAGGAGGAGGATGAATGATGAACGCCAGGGGTCGCATTTGCGCAGGCGCGGCGCGCGGGAGTTGAAAGCACGATTTGTTAACGCATGTTTCGCGCACGACATGTCAACGCATGGTGTTTCGCGCGCGATGCGTTAACCCAGCCTTCGAGGCGCCCATGGCCCATGTCATGCCGCATTCCTGGTTGATTGTGTCGTTGTGCAGCGCGGGCGCACTCGCGCTCCCCGCTCGCGCCAACGGGCCGCCCGCCCC